AGCCCTGGCCTCCTTAAATAGTCCCCTAGACCACTGGAATCAAGGGGCCGCTTCAATGCGGTATCGAAAACTTAAAAGGATTATATATCTTAACGGCATGCAGAAAATCCATAGGATCGGCTTTGTTTTTCTGTACATATATGTCTACGCATCGTGGAATATTTGCAGGTGTCTGAACAGCCTCTTGTTTGGCCTTGCCGAGTGATGAGGTTTTGCATGCATGCACTGCAGGTGCTGAAATATCATGGAGCCGTGTTCTGCTAAAATGGTCCCCTAGACCACTGGAATCAAGGGGACGGTGCTCACGCGGATTCGATCCGGTATCGAAAATTTAAAAGGATTATCTTCTTCGACTTTTCGTTGTTATTGTCACCAAACACAAAATAAAGATGGCAAGACTTTCCTCGCCAACGGAAGCGTTTCGTTGCCGAATTAATGAGTCCTGATGGCATGACATTGTCTGCAACGAATTGTATCCGTTGTTAAGTGAAAGCTTGTTTCACGCTTGGATCTTTTAGCCATACACAAATAACGTGTTCGGTAGACCGTTGACGGATCCAGATTCGAAACGTATTTACAGAAACAGATTAAACGCAACCGCAGTATCCGAGAGTAGTTACAACGCAGCAGGCTTCCAGTCACGTTTATGACCATAACTGCAATTTTGATATCAGAGATACTCAATGTAGGGGTACTTCATCTTTGCATTTAGACGCCCAGGGGGGACAGCATTTTGAACAGGCTACTGCTTCATGGTAGTTGAGTACTTGCCGTGCATTGGCTGCAGGAAGGATATTCTAAGAAAAGTTGATACGCAAAATGCCAACATTCTAGTGGCTACTCTGTCAGAAGTGCGCAGGCCTTTGTAGTGAAAAGATTAACGAATTTGTGGGTGCTCTTGCGAATCTAGAGCTTTTACCTTTTCACATCTTCCAGTCTCAGTTTCAGTTGTCTTCCTTGCGGGAGCCCACCAGTGTAAGTCGACGCTCATGAAATCTTGTTTCTTCTCCGCCTTCAGCCTCCAGCGCTGACCAAGTGGTTCAACCATCGGATTATGTCGAACTGTTTGTTTCCTAGATAATACTTTTTAATGTACTTAGCGAGCATGCTTTCAGGTGTATAACACTGTCACCTCAGAGGTGGCAAAAACAGAGTCAGCAAGCATTTCGAAATACGTTAATCGAACAGTCTGATTCTAATTTCGTACAAAGTTCCTGACGCAGAAACTACGGGAGAGCATAATGGTTTATCAATATAGCACCACATCCCTGATATTGTCAACCTCTGCGGGTGGAAGCTGTACTACACAGGAGTCGATATCATGGCAAGCATCCAACCACTGTTGGTGTTCCGATCGAATTTTACCTGTCTCACAAAATCACTGGATTGAAGCCGACCAATGAAAAAATGGCAATCGTCCTGCTTGTTACAAGTTACAACAGTGTGAAGTTCTGACCTTTGCGCGCCAAGTTTTGAGGGATAATAAAACTTTTTTGAGGAAGTGGAATGTGCTCTGTAAGAAGTGCTGCCTTCGGAGTCTCTCATTCTAATGGACGATTTCAATGCGCATGTTGGACCAGATACTGAAAGCTGGAAAAGAGTGATTGGAAAGAACGGCCCTAGCAATCTCAACAATGAAGGCATGAAGTTATTGCGATTTTGTGCAAACAACGGACTGTACATTATGAACACCTTCTTCGAGCATCGAAAAGTGCATCGGTACACCTAGTACCGGGAAGCTTGTGCACAGAAGTCGATGATCGATTTGATAATCGTATCGTCTGACCTA